CGTTGTGCATCGTCAGCATCCATGGTTCCGAATAGCGTTTTGCTGATTGTGCCGATGGCATTTAATAAGCCTCTTTTTTTCGTATTAGCGTTATATAATACATTTAAATAGTTTAATGCGGCAGTAAGTTGGGTATTCCCTTTTTCTATAATCTGCATCATATTTGCACATATTGTTGTGCGTTTCCTGCGATGACTTTTTCGCATCGTTTTTCTGTATCCTTTAAGTAATTTTGGAGTTGTTCGTATCGAATCTTAAAAGCGGTAATGTCTAATTTAATGACAAGTTTCCATTCGGATTCCACTTGATTCATCACTCCTATTTCTTCGAAATATATACCGGGCGTATTACTGTATGATTCCCAGTGATAGGTGTGTGTGGTTCCATCCGTGTAACTCCACACAAGGAGGATCCTGTAAGATAAGGATTCATATTACTTTCGGTGAATCCTTGCTTCGCGGTTTATCTTATGCTGTTTCTTTAATTCTTTTATTCAGTACATCTTTAGTCTCAGTGAAGAGTGTTACTTTGAAGAGTGTTGCTAAGATTTTAATATGCGTTGTTTACGGTGTAATTTGTATTTCGCACCTTCCACGTGCGATAGCTGCCTACGCAGCTACTGGTTACAGGCCGCTCGGAATCTGCAGGAGTACGAGCGGTCACGCATTCGTCCAGTGAGGGAGTGGCGAGCTATGCCTCGTTACAGGGTGCATGTGTGCACCGTGACGGGGAGGAGGATTGTGGAGGAATTACCTCCACCTTATTAAAATATGTAAGTATTTCTTTTGTTTCTATATTATATAATATTAATATATTTACTATACTATTCGCTTCTACTAACATTCGCTTATTTGCTTCTTGCTTTAATGTTCGATAAAAAGTTTTAGACGATTAGCGTGTACGCGCATTGTTTTCCATCCTATCTTAATCGTAAAATTTACGTTGTTATGTTTATCGAAAATCAGGTAGGGACCAATCCATTTCGATTCTAGTTTTTTAGATCTGCCCCTTCGACCGGTTTCATCGAATAGTAAAACGTTATCGCCGACCTTAAACGTTTCCTTCTTTGTATTGAGAGTACTATTTTGAAGATGCCTTAAACGTTTCCTTCTTTGTCGTTTTATCGTACTGTTTTTCGGCTTTAATTTTTTCTTGTTGCGCATGTTCTCGGGCTATTTGGTTTGTGGCGCGTATTCTTTCGCGAAGTTCTTGTACGGAATTGTCGTACGAATACGTTAGTTTTGGCGTCTTCGATAACGCCGATGGCAGAGTTGCTTGATAGCCGTACATTAATTCAAACGGCGTGAAACCCGTTGCCGTATGAGGAGTAGTATTATAGGCGAACGTTGCGTAGGGTAACCACTCGTCCCAGTCACTCTGTTCCTCGTTAACATAATGCCGGAGATATTCGGCTAACGTTCTGTGTGAGCGCTCTAAGGCTCCGTTATTCTCCGGATGATAGGCTGTCGTTTGTACCTTTTCTATTTTCAATAATTTGCAAGTATTCTTAAACATTTCGCTAGTAAAGTTAGTACCTTGATCGGTAAGGATTTTATCCGGCGTACCGTGTTCTACTATTATTTTGGTTACGAATGCTTTCGCGACGGTAGCCGCTTCTTGATTATCTATAGGAATAGCTTTACTGAATTTAGTTAAATTGTCCTGAAAGGTCAGGATATATTTATTTCCATTGGTCGTGACAGTTAATGGCCCTACGATATCTAATGCACATTTTTCAAATGGTTTCGTAGGCGTGTCTGTAATTACTAATGGCATCTTCGTCTTTTTACTTAATTTGTTCTTTTCACATTTAATATTAACATTTGCTTATGTATTCCTCGACGTCTCGAGTAATGCCTCTCCAGTTATGTAGTAATCGGATACGGTTCAGTGTCCGCGCGACCCCCTGATGCCCCCCTAACGGAGCGTCATGATACTCGTATAGTATGCGGCGTTTCTCCTCAGCCGTATATTCTTTAATTGTTTCTTCCTCTTCTTCTTCTTCTTCTTG